CTGACATTCAGTTTCTTTGTATGTATATAAACTAGGGAAATACTATTGTCATATTATACGACAACCCTCAAACTCTGAAATAACTTGGAAGGGTGCTGAAGGGATGCTCACAGCCTGCTGCTCAAGTTGCACATCTCCCTGATAACATTAGTGTAGCTGTATTCTCATATTTATTTTCCTTTGCTGGCATTTTGACCGCAGAAGACATTTACTGTAGGATACAATTAGAAACAGAACAATTTGTATGTATAACTGTTCCCTCTTTGTCTGAAATGCAGGTGACTGAAGTTCTGCTGTCTCTTAGCTCTTTCTCTCATTATCTCTGAAGCTGTGCTGCATCCTAGCATTTTCTAAAATGGGGAATACTTCAGAAACACTGATGGAAGAGCTGCTTTAATATGGGAGTTGTGTATTTTTGCAGGAGGGCTATGTCCTTTTGGAATTGCTATTAGCAAGTAATAGTGAAAGAGATGCTAAGTATCTTCTGCAGTCATTTACTTTTACCTGAGTAATCTTACTGGCCATTGCTATTAAATATACAAATCATTAGATTTGTGCTTTAAAATATAGGCAGGTATTGTTATTTTGGTAGCAGCTGGCTCATAAGGCTGTTCACCTGTAGAAAAAACAATATTTCATTACTTTGTGTTGTACCTTCCTAAAACATAGCACCTGGGCTACCGGGGAGCAGCAGAGAGTCTGCTTATCTGGAGAACTGTAGCATGAGTAGAGGTGTCTAGCTTTATAACTTCTGCAGGTGGAGTTACACCAAAGAAGGAGAAACATGGATGAAAGGCAGTGTGCATAAGTACATATAAAGTAAGAGTTGTGATCTCCATTCTTAAAAAATGTTCAGGTGTGCAATGTTTTAGTTTCTCTCCAGAAGGAAACGTTCTGGCTCCTTATCAGTATTTTTCATTTGTTTTTTTCTGGAAGGTACTTCAGATTCAGTAGTGACTGGCAGGTTGACCACTTTTACCAGTGCTGGTGAACTGTTAAAGCATGTGTTTGAATGGAAACACAAGTATTCTCATTTGAAACTAAACAAAGATGTAGCTCTGATTCAGCGGACAGAATAGAGTCAAAGTGTGCTTATGGGCTCTGTCACTATAGTAAGCAAGTTCTTTGCAAAAAATAATGAAATTACATGTGATAGTGATTCTGATGCTGGATTACTGTGACTCCCATTTATCTCATAAGGAATTGATGTGAAAAGATCTTAAGGAAATCTGTGACAAAGCCAGGAAATCTTGGATGTCCGACATGTACGTTTAATTATCACTATTTTATTTTCACTTCAAAGAGTTGTAATTGGTAATATCTTAAATCTCAGATAATCTTTTAATTGTAAATGATTTTCTTATTTGGTTCATCCTTTACTTCCTGTGGAAGGGTAATAGAGCCCAACCTGGAATTTAAATCACAGGATTTATTACCGAGCTAAACCATGTTATTATTTTGCCTAGACATTAAATAAAGTCTTCATTCCTATTGTTGAGGCAATTGTCTGAGCCGTGTTCAAATGGAGCCAGCTGAGTGCAATGCTTTGTCTTTTGGATGGTATCCAACATGTATCAGATCTCTGTTGCTACTGGGGAATCACAGAGGGGCCAGAAATTCTCATACCTCTTTTGTCTTGGTTTCATTTCAGTAGATCTGTGATGAAAATACAAAACTTCCAGCCTAAGCTTTCATTCTGAAACCACATTTTGATGATCAATTCTAAAAATACAACAAAATGTCTCTCTGTGATTTTGAAACTGAGTTTCTGAAAAAACATTGTACTTGTACTAAGAAGTAAGGTGTGAAGTTCCTAAGAAATGAGCTGTGAATTGAAGCTGCAGTGGAAATGGATCCTATCTGTCAATCTCTGCTCCATATTCTCAGGAAAACGGAGGGGAGCAGAGAAAGAGCCAAGGTGACTGACTAAATGGGATGCTAAAGTGCCAGGGGCTAGAACTGGGCTTGCTGGTCCCTCAGGTCAGAGCTACAACTGTTAGACTTTCCTGCTTCATATCTGCTGAAGCCAGCAGGAGGAGAGCAGTAGGAAAAACGCTGCAGGCACCGTCAGGGGAATTGGTAAGAAGTACCTGGTGCAGCTTTAGGCATGACAGGCTGTGCACTCCTCTGGGAGGACAACCTCTTCCTTTATGTACTGGTAGGCCTCATTTTTGCAATTCTCCTCCTGATTTGTAGCAGTGAGACAGAAGAAAATAGCTGGGATGCTGAGGAGCAGCAGAGCATCTGTTTATCTAGAGAACTGCAGAGGGAGGGGAGAAGTGTAGCTGAATGACGTCCCTGCAGGTGGGGTTCCTTTCCATAGCTTTTGTTACAGAAATTGTTGGGTTTTGTGGCTATCTTTGTCATGTTTTTAATTAAAAAAGAAAAAAAAAATCATTGTACCTTACCCTCTTTTTTTGTTGTTGATAGTGAACATTTTTTTCCCTTCATCTTGTTCCTTCTGAGCTAGTTGTAACCAGAAATAGTTGGGTACTTGGAGCATACAGGTCTGTTGTGTCTGAGAAGTCAACTGTACAGAGCTAATGTCCTCATGTCTGTAATGAAGTCATATCCGGTAATCAAAGAAGTGCTGCATTGGAAAGAAAAAGAAAAAGAAAACAATGCAAATAAAGTAGTGTTTATTCAGGAATTCAGATTTGTTTGATGAAAAAATAATAAAGCCTGGTCTGTTCCAGTAATTTTGAGACCTTAAAAGTGATATGGAGGAAACCGAATGGGTGAATTCTTTCGTGTACAGCCCAGCATTTTCAGAGGCTGTTTCATAGACAGGCCTTTTTGGAACATTCGATGCCATTTTCTCAGTGGGCATGCACTGTAAAATTATTCCATCTGGTGCAAGTAACATCTTCCTTTATTTTTCTTTAAATGTCTTCCTTTGCTCTGACCTAGTTCTTTTTATCTTACCTGCATCTTTCTCCTTTCCACTTAAGTGCTAGCATGGGCTGGACCATGCCATGCTTGTCCCACACAGGGCCCTCTCAGCTGCATCATCTCTGAATGATAAGACAAACAGACACAAGCTATGTCACTATCTGATATTCTGGATTACAGAATCAAGTCAGGAACAAAAGCATTCAAGGTTTTTGCCTTGTCTGATGAACTTTATCCCATGAACATCAACAAAAGCTATATTGTTTCCAGCTTTTACAGCCCAATCTCTTTATTCCTTTGTCTGTTTTATTAGAGTAAGAATGTATATGTCATTCTCATAGCAATGACTTCAAGATTTAACTAGATGACTAGCTTGTACTTTTATTTAAGGTAGAGGGGCATAAGAATATCTTCCTCCTGGGTAGAAATCTTGAGTAGATTTGATCCAGTTACTTCATACAGCCACTCAATTTCACTTTTCAAATGCCATGAATTAGTTTTATGGTTCTAATAAAATAAAATCCTTTGTGTGGAAAATTTTACTAGTCTGGTCACCAGAAGGAAGATTAGGATTAGATATGTTACTGAGTTAGTTTTGTTTTGCCATTTTGTCACCAACTGGGAAATATAATACACTGGTGATCAACATGTTTGGGTAGTGGCAGCTAAGTAATTAAAAAAAAAGAAGAAGCTGGAGGATTGGAAAATAAGAAAACAACACTGCTTTGTAGATGTACAGAGAACAAGCAATTTCCTAACACCTTTTCTTCAAGGAGCTAAGATGAATGATGTCTTTGAACACGCATTCTAAGCAGGGATTTTATTTAAAAGTAAAAAGATGAAGCCCTGTGTAAATTGTTTAGAACATTCCTAGTGAAGACATGTTGATTAATAAACATTAAAGAAGGAAGATGCATATTAATTTGTTTATGTATAAGAGGCTTCTAGCTCATTAAATGTCTTCTAAGCATTTAACTAGTGAAGCAGAGGATAAAACCAGACATTGTCTTTAATCTTATTGCAGGTTCCAGTATGAAAACAAATAGGTTATTGCTAAGTACGTATAATAGTTCTACTAATGACATTCTTTTGAAAATATGGGGTGTCTGCCAAATCAGAATTTGAGCTGTAATTCGGTGGAAATTTGGGTTTGGTTTTGTAACTCAATTGCTGGGGCCTATAGGAATGGATAAATTTTTAACTTCATCGGCAACGGTGGTTGGATAATTAAATTGTTGAAAAAGTTCTTGTTTATAGATCGCCATCAGTTCTTGGTATGATTTTGTTAGATATTATTTATGCCAGGTTATCAGCTAAGAGTTCTCTAGGAATATTCAGGTGCAGTAAGATATGATTGACATGCCTTCTTTCATTTTTTTTTAATTCTTTACCGAATTACTACTGCAAACAGGTTTTTATACTGTTTTAGATGTAGTTTAAAAAGACAAGAAAGAAGCTAGTAGTAACAACTAATGTTTATGAGAAAATAACCCTATAGACCGTTTTAAAGAAATTAGAATATTATCTTAATGTTCTGGCCATGTCTAGATTGAGTAAATTGCTCTCAGTCTAATTTAAAAACAAGTGAATAAGAAATAGCTGATGAAACACCTAAACACTCAAAAAAAAAAAAAAAAAGCAGTCCTGGGAGAAAATCAACACTTATTTACAGATTTTCCCCAAAATTACCTTTTATTTTTAGATACCTATTAACTTGAATGACAGCTTTTGCTTTAAAAGTGTTAACATATTAATTTGTAATGAAAATTGCAGTTATTTTTTGCAGGCAACAAATGGGTAAAAAGAGTAAACATTATTTAAACTACAGTTTGAATTTAAAGATAAGTTTTTGGTTTTTTTGTTTGCTTATAGTTTTTCACTAGGGTCACTTCTTTCTCAGTGTTTTGCTCTTACTTTTCTTTTGACTTCTATTGGCATTTGTACTATGCGAGAAAAAGAATGAATTTGTTTCAACTTATATGTCATATTTATAGAACTGTAAAACTTCTTATTACTCTTACGTACTGCTATAATATGCATAAGTATTCTCACTCACTGTTATAATATGCGTCAATAATCATACTAGAATCATACTGGTAATTTTGCAGATCCAATGCGTGGGCCACGGAAACTAGAGGTTGTGGAGATCAAGTCTAGGCAAATCACTATTTGCTGGGAGCCATTTGGATATAACGTCACACGTTGCCATCGGTACAACCTCACAGTCCATTACCGTTACCAGGCTGGAGGACAAGAGCAAGTGAGAGAAGAAGTAAGCTGGGATACAGAAAGTTCACATCCACAGCACACCATTACTAATCTATCACCATATACAAATGTCAGCATCAAATTAGTACTAATGAATCCTGAAGGACGAAAAGAAAGCCAAGAACTTGTCGTACAAACTGATGAAGATGGTGAGTTTTTGTATTTACACATATATATACTTCGTACATGCATCCTACCTGATGATCAGCATATCTTTCTATATGTTTTACTTTCACTGTCTGTAACAAATTTTCCACCACCTTCAACAGTTTTCGGGCAGTAAGGGATCTACTAAATGCATTATTGTGGTTTTTTACATAATCTGTAACATTATACATCATTTTATCATTTCTTCACTAAGCTTGTAGTATGAGTTATAGAGTTATGTTCTGCCATTTAAAAGTTCAGTATCAGTGTGAAAATAATTCAGGTGCTGGTCCACAGTATCTTCGTGTAAGCTTTTCTGTTGAATGATATGCTCAACATTAAATACTTTTTCCTGATCTGCAGTTTCCACCACTGAATGCTGTTAGTTGCTTATCCAGTGTCTTGTGTATGTATGTACATTACAGTATAGATACTCCCTCTCCTTTAGTAATTCTTAGCTAAAGTGGGGTTTTCAGACCTCAGTCATTTAAGTAATCACATAATTTATCCATCTCTTTTTTGAAGTACGTGTAGCCGAGTTGGCAACTGAGTCTCCGTAATGCTGTAAAAACACTGCATGAATAGACTCTAACATCCTTCTAAATCCTATGTGATGTTACTGTGATTAAGCACACCAAGAGTTTACACGAGTACTGATAGCTGTGGGACCAAAATGGGACTTATTTTTTAATTAGTCATGCACCAGGAATCAGTTCCACCTTTCCAGAACATGTTGTACTAAGGTATATAGCCCCTTGGTGCCTTCTACAAGTGTGCCTTATGTTTTTTTGACTTTGCTTATATGAATCTTCAGTTGTCTACCCTTCAAAGGAACCTTAACAAGTGACTGAAATTGCTTACAACAACAGATCTATTCTCCCAGTTTTAACATCTGCAGTCTGACTAGAAGTAGCTGTGTATTTTCTTCCAACTTAATGATGGATTTACTGCAAACATTTTGGAAAGATTTCTAGGAAAAAAAATCAGCAATGACAAGTTTCCCTTATAATAAATACCTGAAGAGTATCATTTAAAACTATTAAATCATTTAATATGTACTGTAATGGTTTTGTATAGTACTAATTTCTAATCAAAATATATGAGGAAATAAATTAAACAATTTAGGAATTTAGGTTGCTAATGCAACAGATTTTACCAAGCGTAGCTAACATAAAAATTGTTTAATTAAAATTAATTTTGCTGTCATCTCCTTGTTTTTATTCAAATCAATTGCAGGATGCAAAAGCAAAGGATCTGATTTATATATGTAGCATTTCTGTATTTTCTTTAAAATTTATATAGTATTTGTTTATTCTTGGCCCTCTGGAACTTCACAGTATACTAAGACATCTTAAAAACCAGCATTAGTGTTCAGATAATCCTTTTCTTTTTTTAATATTCTTTCCATAACATTAATCAGTTTTGAAATATCAAAACTGAAAATCTGTGATTCTGTCTCTGCAATGTTTTTACAAATACTAAAAAAAAATACAGCTTTTTAGTATATTGTACACTTTCAGTAAAACATATGTATCTGTGTGTAACACAACAATGAAATATGACCCAGATAATCACTGTGATCAAATTACATTATAATGTATGTTGCAAAGGCTGTGTTCAGTTGAGCATTCAGTATTTTCATGGATGAATATCCTACAGCCTCTCGAGGGAAGCTCTTTGAGTGTTTGACCTCCCTGATGGTGTAAATGCTCAGAGTTTATGGCCTTCGAGTAATTTATAGAGTTATCACCATGTCTTGTCATGCTTTTATCTTACTTGTGCTATATTTAATTTTTCTCCCTTTACATGTATACTATTAGCTCTATTATTCCAAATAGGTACTGTTGGTTTTCTCCTACTTGGAAGGGAGACTTTGTGCCCAGACTTAGGATTTCAATAATGGTGCAATTTTACTAGTCCATGTAGGACTGGTAAGCAAATTCAGAAGCTATCAGTGTCCTTGGAGTTTCTTCTTGTCTAAGGAATTCCTGCAAGGGACACTTTAGAGAGGTAGGAAGATTTGCTTATAAAGTCTCAATTTAAACTCCAGTTAAACCATTTCACTCCTAGACAAACAACATGGAGGAACAGAAGAAGAAAAATACCCTATCAGACCTAGAAACAGGAAGGAGTCGCCAGATGTTTATCTTGTAGGTCTTCCTATACTTTAGCTATATGGATGGAACTCAGAAAGGGGTCCAAGAAGTTATTTCAGCTGTTGTAGGAGTTAGTTTCCACCTTCTAGCATATGGAAAATATGTATCTTCTTACTGGACTTTCACATGCACATCAGGTGAAAGTGCTCACCCATCAGTGAGCTGTATTGTAGCCTTATGCTTCTTAGCAGTGCGTTTTTTGAAGATTTTCTTTTTACATTATATTTCAGATACTTTTACAAAAATAGAATTTCAGATACATGTCCATGTGCTGTTAACATACCCTCTTGGCTAAAAACTGTGTTGACATTGGCTCTAGGACAAGATAGTTGTAGAACAAACAGAAAAAAAAAGAAGTAGATATCTGAAAGCAGTTGATGCAACCTTTATCAGACTCTTCTGATGTCCCTGTCTGTTTACCATTTCTTACTCCTAAAGTAAGAATATTTAAGAAAGATGAATGTCAGATTTTCTGTTTGTCTGCATCACAACTTCCATATGTTCACCATGTTTAAGGTCATCAGGCCTATAGTCAGTGAGCATCACCATTATGTGCAAAATGTGACTCACCTTTCCAAGGCTGGCATTCCTAGTTCAGTATGCTAAAGCTGTACCTTGTTATTTCAGTCTTTTTCCATTTTGTATCTTTCAGTACAGCAATGTCATTTATAAGTAGGCATGACTATTTTTATTTACAAGAATTTATCCCTGAGACATCATCTAGTTTCTTAGTCAATAAGTTGAATTATTTCTTTCTTCATCAATAGTGTTCTACTAGAAAAGTGCAATTCTCACTAACTCCTTTTTATACTGAAGTTGACACAAATTTCCTTAACAGCACTGTCTTGTAAAATAAATTATTCTCTGCTGAGTCTTTGCTTCTTTCTACCCTGGTCTCTGCTTCAGTCTTGGGGAAATAATTGTAGGTGTAATTTTCTAACATATTATATGTAGTTGAGGTGTTTAACTTAGGGAGATGGGGAAGAAATGATTATATATATATTTTATATATATATGTATATATATATATATATGATATGTTTAACAAATTCCATGGGAGATGAACTATATCTCAACAATTGCTATTTTGTGTCTCAACAAAATGGATGAATTGCTTTTATATTTGTTTCTCCTTTTTTTATTCATTAGTTCCAAGTGCTGTACCACTTGAATCCATTCAAGGGAGTACCTTTGAAGAGAAGATTTTTCTTCAGTGGAGAGAGCCAGTGCAAACATATGGTGTGATTACTTTGTATGAGGTATCAAGCATTTGGTCATGTTTTTCCCTTCATGTATTGTATTGATTTTTGGAAGTGCATAATTAGTATGTAATTGAAAGAAAATATTTTTCCCAGTTCCTGTGAAATAAGTACTCATTTTGAAGATAGTAGCACTTACAAAGCAATAAAATCAAATGTGTAATATAGAAATGTATTACTGCAAATCCCAAGGTATTGAGTTATCATCTTGAAGAAAACTGCTATATTTAGAGCCATATGATATAGTATTCTATCTAGTAATGTGGAATTAATATTTAAGACTGAAAGACAGATCTTAGTAGATTATTTTTTTTAAGAGAAGGCATAATGCAGTGAAGACAGTCATCTTCACATTTAGGTGAGACTCATTACAGGAAACCTATTGTAATAGAAACAGGCAGGCATAATTTTTAAAAAATCTATGATTTTTAATGCAAATTCAACAAAATTATATGTTGTGGATGTCTAAAAATCGCTGCTTTTCTTCACATGGAACCTCTGCCTGAATACCTTTTAGAAAAATTGACAAAAGACTGCACAGATTAAGCTGTCAGACAGTAATCACTGTTAAGCCTCTTACCTGACCTAACTACAAAATTGGTATTGAAATGCTTTGTTTAAAAAAAAAAAAACAACACACCACCTAAATGAGATATGGTGTAAGAGAAAAGTTAAATTAAATGGTAACCTATTGATACTGTTTTGAAAACTGTTTTATTATAAAAGGATGAAATGTTACGAAAAAAGTATAGATTGATTTTTTTTTTTTTTAATAAAACTAACTACTTTCCAGCTAGTTCAAAAATTGCCTATCTGCATGGATCTGAATGTTCTAGTAAATATGCTAATGTTTTTATTGTGGTTTGGCTTCAGATACATAGAAACACACATAGGCAAATCATCTGCTGATAAAAATGCATTCATGTCTTATTGTATTGCTGGACAAGTACATGCAGTGTATATTTGCAGCTCATTCTGAAATAAATCTTTATAACTTCATCAGCTGTAATGACAGTTGTACAGGTGTTATTAAGAGGTAGAAAAAAATAGGTTGGCCTGAGTTTCAAAGGTATTCAGGACAGCAAGTCTTTGAACACCAAAAGGAACCTAGCATTCCAACAGCAAAGAGAATGTTGAAAATATAATACTGGTATCTTCTGCTGTTTATCTTGCACTTCTCAAAGCAGGGTAGAGAGAGCTAAGTAATCATTTAAAGTAGAAACTTGATTTCATTAATTTCCAACTGAAAGGTATCAGCAAGACACGTACATCCAAACCAGTTTTTGTTCTAAATGCCAGCTTGGTCCAGTGAGGTGGCTGAACATGAGCAGGTTAGGAAGGCCAGTACCCAAGTAGAACTGCACTGGGCAAGGAGTGCAAAGAAGATCAAGAAAGGCTTATACATGTACATCAACCATAAGGAAAGACTCTCCCCTAGTGAGCAACACAGGTAGGCTGATAACAATGGGCAAGGGGAAGGCACAAATACTTCATTTTTTTGCCACAGTCTTCACTGACAACTGCTCTTAACATACCCTCAAGCAGTTGGGTCAGAAGTTGGGGACTGGGGAAGCAAAGTCTCTCCTACTGTAAGTGAGGATTAGGTTTGTGACCAGTTGAGGAACCTGAATGTTCATAAGTCTGTGTGTCCCAAGGAGATGCATCCCAGAGTCTTGAGGGAATTGGATGACACAGTCACCAGGCCACTCAATGATATTTGAAAAGTCATGGCAATCAGGTGAAGTCCCTGGTGAGTGGAAAAAAGGCAGTGTCTTGCCTGTTTTTAAGAAGGGTAGAAAGAACAATCCAGGGTACTACCAACTTGTTAGCCTCTTTTCTGTGCCAGGGAAGATCATAGAACAGATTCTTCTGAAAGCTGTGCTAAGGCACATGTAAGAGAGGGAGGTAATACAAGACAACTAGCATGGCTTCACCCAGGGTAAGTCCTATTTGACCAACCTAGTGGCCTTCTATGATGGCTTAACTGCATCAGTGGAAAAGAGAAGAGCCAATGGTATCATCTGAACTTCAGTTTGGCCTTTGACATGTGCACACATAACTTCCTTCTCTAGATTGGAAAGATATGGATTTGATGAGTATACCGTTCGATGGATGAGGAGCTGGTTACAAGATCATACCCAGGCAGTAGTGATCAGGGAATCAATGTCCAGATGAAGATCAGTAATGAGTGGTTTCTCTCAGGGGTCAGCACTGGGACTTTTATTTCTTTAATTTCTTCATCATTGACATCGGCAGTGAGATTGCGTGTGCCCTCAGCAAGTTTGTGGGTGGCACCAAACTGTGTGAGACTACACAGGCTCAAGCTGTGGGCCTGGGAGAATCTCATGAGGTTCAACAAAGCCTAGTGCAAAATATTGCACCTGAGTCATGGCAACCCCTGCTATCAATATAAGCTCAGGGACAAAAGGATTGAGCACAGCCCTGCCATAAAGGACTTGGAGGTGCTGGTTGATGGCAAGCTGGACATGAGCCACCAATGTACCCTGACGGCCCAAAAAGTCAACTGTGTGCTGGGCTGCACCAGAACAATCGTGGTCAGCAGGTCGAGGGAGGTGATTCGTCCGTCTACTCTGCACTGGAGAGATCACACCTGGAGTACTGCATCAAGATTTAGAGTCCTTAGTACAGGAGAGACGTGGACTTGTTGGAGCACATCTAAAGGAAGGCCACAAAAATGATCCAGGATGTGGAACACCTACCTACGAGGACGGTCTGAGAGAGCTGGGGCTGTTCAGTCTGGAGAAGAGAAGGCTGTGGATAGCAACCTTTCAGTACCTAAAGGGAAGCTATAAAGAAGAAGGGGACAGACTCATTAGCAGGGTATATGACAAGGGAAAATGGTTACAGGTGAAACAGGAGAGATTCAGACTGCATAAAAGAAAGATGATTTTTATGATAAGGATAGCAAGGCACTGGAACAGGTTGGCGAGAAAGGTGGTGGATGCCTCGTACTTGGAGACATTTGAGGTCAGGCTGAACCAAGCTCTGAGCAGCCTGACCTATCTGTAAGTGTCCCTGTTCATTATAGGAGAGTTGGACTAGATGCCCTTTAAAGGTCTCTTCCAACTCAATTGATTCTATGATTCTATGAGCACTCCCCAAGGAAGGATAGGGGACAGTTCAGCCTGGAGATAATAACAAATTGGAGAATCCCTTGAACTGAAAGGCCTCCAAAGGAGTGAGTCAGCCCAAGAGTTGCAGCAATGGGTGAATGCACCGTCCCATCACCTGTCACCTGTCACAGGGCAATACACAACCTGAGGTGAAGGGGTTGTAGTGCCAAGGTAAAGCAAGCACAAGATTGCTGGGTATTTTAGCTGAGAGTTGAAGACATTCAGTTTGTCTGAGATGTAAGCTTTACTCATACCTAAGAACGAGGCTGCCCTTTCCTAGGTGACCTCTTCAGCTGGTGGCCATTTTTTAAAGACTCATTCCAAAGACTGCAGCATGAGATGCTTTCTTTGTGTGTTAGTATTTTAAAATGTGGGTAATGTAATTATGACTTTAAGCTCCTGAACAGTGAATTTACATTTACCAGAATGCTAACAAATACTGTAGAAACCACTGTAGACTTTGCTTATAAGTAGGAGTGAAACAAAGAAACAACGCAAGTTCATTTTAACCAGCCAAAACACCTTTTTTTATTGTCTTCTTCCTGAAGCCTGGAGGAACTTAATTATAGAATATTAGCTACTTACCTGTCCAGTAATTAATTGGTATACCAAGAAAAAAAAATTACAAAAATATAGTATGGCAATGTTTAAAGATGTGTAACGTCAACACTTACATGCTTTAAATATTTTTTGTGTGTTCATCTTCTTTATTAGAATTATGTGTAATAACATACTGTATAATAATTACAACAAAAAAGAATGTTAGTTATTACTTTGTTATATAAAGTGCTGGAATTCACATACGAATGAAACTTCGTAAGTAAAAAGGAGAAACTAATAATTTTTATTTTTTATTTTTTATTTTTAAGTTCTCATTATGATATGTGGAAATTTGTAATTAGTATAAAAAATCTGGATCAAGTTTTGCTGTGAACTTGTATTAACATTTCTAATGGAAACTGAAAATACTGCTTGAGTCAAAAAAGGAACTGAGGATACAATATACATTTTGCATATATTACTGAGCGTTTTATCTCTCTTTTCCTCCAAAGGAGAATCTGACCTAGGTACAATATAATAACCTGAAAATTTCCAAATTAGCAATTACAATATCTAAGCTTCAGACTAAAATATAAGCTCTACCAGCTTTCTGAAAAATTTGCCTTAAGCTGCCCTTATCGTCTTCTAAGGATAATCTTATTCAGAGCAAAGTGTAATTGCAGTCAAATCAGTTAGAAGTAGGAGCCACCTCTTTCATTATTTGTTTATGTGCTTTTACTCTGTTGTTTTGTTTTTGTTATTGTTGCTAATCAAAACCAACTGTAAGATGGGTTAAAAAAATGTCATTGTTAAAGGCGGCATCTTAAAGGAATTAATGTAAGCCTGAATCCATCTTTTAGAGTTGTAATCTAGCTTGCCTCTAAGTCTCTGTATCTATAAAAGTAATAACTCATACCAGTTATGGCTGAGTTTCTGTGTCCCTTCATGGGATTCAGGATTTGAAGAGAATAAGAGAGTAAGATAGCTTATCATAAAATGTCTGACAGCACATACATCAGAAGGGTTTACTGGATAAAAATGCAATCTTTGTCCATCTGCTCAAGACAGTTTATAACTTTCTTATTCTTTTGCAGATCACCTACAAAGCAGTAAGTTCCTTTGACCCAGAAATAGATTTATCCAATCAAAGCGGACGAGTCTCAAAGCTAGGAAATGAAACGCACTATCTCTTTTTTGGACTGTATCCTGGCACTACCTACTCTTTTACCATCAGGGCCAGCACAGCTAAAGGCTTTGGACCTCCGATCACAAATCAGTTCACCACTAAAATATCAGGTATTTATTGAAAGAATATCATTATTTGCATTTAATGATGACATGGTTAATTTTTTTTTTTGTTACTTATCTCTTCTTTAGGAATTTATGAGCAGCAAACTGAAAATAAAATAAGCCTTCATCCCTGAAGATGTCAAAATGACATACATTAGTGTACTTGAAAAACTTGCCAAATGTTTAAATAGCAGCTAGTAGTTTGAAATTCCTATTCATGGCTATAACTTACCACCCAAGATACCCAATGAATTATGTGCCTACAGTCAGTGCCAGCTACTGTTACAATGTTTAGCATAGGGTTTTTTGGACATGAGGATGAGGGCTCCATTCAGAGCTTATTCAGCCTTGACGTGATTCTAAATTAGTACAGTAACGGTGCTGGAAAATCTCTTTAATGAGCCATGAACAATTTAGAGTAGAGCAGATACACTGTGTCCAGTGCTCAGTTAGAAAGCGCAGCTGACAGCCAGCCAGCATACATTCCTAACAGGCGTGTGAACCAAAGTGGGTATAAAACCGTATTAGACAAGAACATCAGGAGTTGTGGTTTTCAGATAAGAGCAGCATGACTCTGTCACCTTCTACACATCCGTGAACAATACTTTAAAGCCCTCCCAGAGGCAGAGGAATGCTTAATTTCTCCAATCGATGGGATGCAATACTATTAAATTCTAAAATCCTTATGGAAATCAATGACAAAATGTTTTGCAAAGTTAAAATTTAAATCCCGTTACTCTTCACTTATGTATAGTCTTCTTGGGAATTAAACTGAGAGTTGGACCTTGATAATATTTACAGAAAATTGCCTTATCTATTTGTGTCAAATTTGCTTTCCAGAAAAGATAAGGAAAAGCATTTGGATACAAAATCTTCTTTCTTTTATATTCTCTTTCTGTATATTTTTCCCCGCATCAATCGTTTTCTGTCCTCACAAGTATTAATCAGAAATAAAGCTATTCCTTTTTATTATAGGAAAGGGCAGTTAATGCGAGGTGGAAATTATTGCTAATTGAGGTTACTAGAGGAAAAAAAAAAAGAGAGAGAAAAAAAGATTGGTAATTTTCAAGTTAGAAAATTATTTTTGGAAGAATGTCTGACAGTAATTAACGCTGATCTGTAAAGATGGGATCATTCTCCTTTTTCTCACATTGAGCACAATGTTTCTGTGTCAGAAATGAATTTCTAACATAGCAAGTCTTGATTGGACTTAGTATGATAGAATCAGGCCTTACTAGAATGAGGTAAGATGGAGGCCGCTGAAAATAGAGTGCTTTTGGGAATAGTGCTATGGCTTAAATTGTTCTTTTTTAAATTCGGTTTGTTACCAACAAAAACTCATTTGTCTGAGTGGACATTAAATGCTTTGAAATGAGACAAAGCTCCAAAGAGCCATCTGGTGAGGTTTTGCAAGCCGTCTTCTCTGCATCCAACTCTTTTAGTATTTCATCTTAGTTACTGTGCTAACGGAATGTTTAAATTTGTCCTGAGGTCAAAGCCAATCTCTTGGTGTATTTATGTAAAATACAAGCAGAATACATTTCATAGCATCATAGAAGAACTACAACTGAAATTTTAGCTGTTGAGTATGGTACCATTTTTTGCAGTGCTATTGGCCTGTGGTCTTACCTGTAAGGCTTTGAGGCTCTTGATGTGTCTATATTGTGAAGAGATGTAAAATGAAAGTGCTGAACGTTTATAAAAAAAAGGTTTCACAGTACATTTTAGAACAGATGACGTGGCAACTATGCATTCTGACCAATTTTTAAACAGATCTTGCATGTTAATTTCTCTGACTCTAGACTGCATTTTCATAGCCTTGATTTTCTGTCCTAAGTTGATGAGGAGTAGTACTATACTGTACTGTAAATAGTTGCCGTGTTTCATTCTACAGTTGTGTGATTGGCATTGATGGATGAAGTGATTTGTATGTAAATATGCACTACTAAAAGAGAGCTAGTAGCCGTGCCTGCTATCAAAATTGATGGGCATGTCGTATTAGAAGACTCTGTTTTCTGTTGCATGTAACTTTGTGAAAAGTCAGCTGGGCAGGCTGAATTTTTTTATGCTGCCTTTTTTACCCAGAAGAATTTCATCCATTTCAGGAAGATAAGCTGCTTCTTTATTTGTGGGCAGTGTGGGGGCGTAAGAATCCTTATCTAGATAGAACAAAAGGGGAAAAATAGATAATGCCCAGGTATCTGTGGAGAGAAGATAAAGTAGCCAGGTTCAAAGGTAAGAGTGGGAGAACCATAGCTCGTAGCCTGGGCAGGATTACAGTTTTGGTGGAGAGAGACTGAACTTTTTATTACATTTATACATTGCTTGTAGGGATCTAAGAGTCACAACTCAGTAAGACTACAAGACTTGTTAAGATGCATGCAGGAGACCAAAGGCAAGAAATGACACTGATAGTGTTTCAGAAATGTTTACACAGCTTTCAAATTCACACTTACTCTGTGATTCCCTCATTTTTGGGATAGCCAACTTGAGAATGGGGCATGATTTGGATAAATCCTAGATGTACAAAACTGAAATCAGTGAAAACTGATTTCAGGGGGCTGGAACTAGGTGATTTCAAGGTCCCTTGTTATTGAATGAGACTGTCTGCATGTAGAGCACACTGCACTTTGAATAACTTCTTCAGTGTGGTACGCAAAGTGTCCAGCATCTGAAATATTAAGCTAAATGAATTCAGATGCTAAATAAGTCTCCAACAATGAGGATAATTAGCTGTTGGAAGAACTTAGAACTAAAGAAAAGATCTTCACCACCCCAAAAAAAATGTATTTTCTGTTATAAGCTGGAATTAGTTTGGGGAAGTTCATTGTCTTGCATCATTCCTGTGGTCAGTAAAGTTCACTGCAATGATTGCTGTTTGCTTCTGTAGCCTTTTAAGTCTATAGAAGTGTATCATCGTTAATAGCTGGACAATAAGTATACGATAGACTGCTAAACAAACAATTAACTGAGCAGGCTTCCATTCATTATAGTGGTAAAAACACAAGTAGGCAAGAGCGTTGAAAAAAAGCAACAGCAGTAGAAGGCTGTATCTGAGGAATCATTTGTAATTTGTAATTGCTTAATGGAGACACAGTTTGCAGAAGTGCCATTGAGTGTGGCTTCAAACTATGATAAGCTCTCATGATGATAATCTTGTTTCATTATCATGAATGATATCTGTGGTGGACCGTAGGCCCATGACAGCCACAGCACAAATGACAAGGTCCAGAAGCATATCCAACTACTGCTGACACATTGAGAAAGCTGAACTCACAGTTTCAAAAAATAAAAAATAAAGTCACTTTTGCATATGCCTTTGTAGATGCTCTTCGTTCACTTCCAACTAATGTACTCTCAGTACTTTCTGAAAACTTAGCTGTATTAGGAGCTGTTGGCCCTAGTAATTTTTACTGAATTTACTTAAAAATTGTCTAATACTTGTACTGTAACTGAAAGCATATTAGAGCTTTATACAGTCTTTATATTGGTAGAAATTTTTAGGATTACATATTCAAATAAAGATATGGCTCCTGAAAGAAGAAATACAGGAATAATGATTATTTTTGCTTCTTTTCCTTTCTTATCCTAGCACCCTCTATGCCACCATATGAACTCGAGACACCTTTGAATCAAACTGACAGCACTGTGACAGTCCTACTGAAACCTGCACAGAGCAGAGGCGCTCCTGTCAGGTACTGGGGGAAAAGGATTTACAAAATTAAAATCAAATTGATTAATTTCTTGAACATGTTTTCTGGGGATTTTCTACGCAGCAGTCAGTGTCTAAATTCATGTCTGTATTAGCTCTAATTAAATTAAATAACTGAAGAAAATGGAAGTGCTTTGATGTTGAGTGTTTGTGTATTGTTTAAAGGATTTGATCCAGATGCAAGTGGCTTGTTCTTTGAAGATAAGGAACAAAGCCATAGTTCTGTTGTGTGGGTGGCTTCTTTAAGGTAATTGCTTACTGCAGTGTTAGAAGTTCAAGGGCATGTCACATTTTCTGTGCTGAGCTACTGTCTATGATATTCTCTTTTCTTGTTTACTTCACAAATATAAGATAATCAGTTCTTAGTAAGTTAACCACTTTTCAAAATATGTCTTGTACCATCCGTGAAGTATTTACATTTACTTGGCCGTGAGAGAAGTACGGAAAAAAACTGAAAAACCATAGCTTCAGTTCTTTAATGTTATATATTTCATCTTAATGAATTTCCAGTTTGCTGTGGTTTATTTCATATTTCACATGTTACCATGTAACTCGTGCACCTGTTGTGATAAAAGATGCCTGCTTTTCAGTGAAGAAAACAGAGGAATGATTATATTATTTTGAATCATAACCAGTAATGAGCTCAATATTCTGAACAGAGGAAAATATAGATGAGATAAATACAGGCTTCTCAGAGGTTGAAGATGTGTCTCCTTTATACATAAATTATTATTTTTTTAGGAGGTGGTGTTTTCAGAATATTTAATTTTTATTTTGCAGCATTCACTGCTGTATTAGATATGTTTCTACGGGTGGATGGATAAATTTAGGAAATTCTCATTCAGATGACTTAAAAAAAAAAAAAGTAGCAGTTTTGGTAAGTCTGAACAAGCTGAGAAGAAATCAGAAAGCAACTAAAGCAGATACAGTGGAACTAATCTAGTAGATTTTATGTTTGTGTTACTTCATGCTATAAAGCTGTAGCGTAGTCCTTCTGAATTCAAGCATCTGAATCAAAATAATAATATTTGGACTTATTTTTGTTTAAACACAAACATATTAGGCCTTAAAAAAAATGTTTAATTCCTTCTAGCTGCACTGTGAACTGAAGATTATTAATTCCTATAGCAGTGGAGATGCATCAGCAGCTTTGCTGGCAATAAAAGGAAGCTAGTTAGGAGATTAAGTACACCAAATGAGTGGAAGAGTGGTGAGAAAGCGGGAGAGATTTAAAGTAACATGCAGCTATAGAACTGACAAAAACGGATGAACACATGGTAGCAAATTTACAGAGGTCCTTTCAGCAGGTCTAAAGACTGCTGCCTACAAACTCTTAATGTAAATACGTTGTGAAACAGAAAGTGAAAATTAAAGTAAGAATTTCTCAATACATTTTATTGCATTTTATTTTACATTACACTCCGAATTATGTCATGGCATAGCTTGCAGAGTGCATTCTGCATATGGATGTTATCATCTTAATCTGTATTCATTGGGTGTTAGAAGTTTAGTCATACTTCTTTTATGTTCATCACTAAGAATGATGCCTTGTGTATTGATCCTCTTACAAGCACCAGCTTGGTTAATGCAGGTTTTTGAAACTACACTAAACTTGCAGTATAAATTATTGCTGTTGTTGTATTGATCAGCACATCAGCCATGTCACAGAAGATTCTGTAATTCCTGAAATGGATAAGGAGATGACAAGTTCTCCCATTCAAGGCAATCAAGCTAATACCTGAGGTCGCTTAGAATTCCAAATTTTTTTCTGCAATAAAATTTTTCTTCTCTAATCAGATATGAAAAATCCTGCTATCTCCTGATTTATTTAGAATCCCCTCACAACCACCATGACATAAAACGGGAGAAAGGGCATGTTGATTATTTAAATGTTGCTTCAAAAAGCAGACTTTCTAGACATGTTATGGAAGCTCTGTTTACAATGATAAAATACACATTAATCATGAAGGCCAAATGGCATTCCAGGTTGTTTTAGAATTTGTACAACTGGACATGATTAAAATCTATTTTGTCAGAGTTTTAATACAACAAATACTGCTCAGTTTGTCTGTGATTTCAGGTTTTATGGCTGTTGCTGTGTTTACTTCTAGAAGATTATTTTGGAATTATGTGTGTTTAAAGCAGTAGTGCATTCAGTAATGATGAATATATGTACTTAACAGTTGGCTAAGCTATTCAGATTTCTAGACGATTGTCATTTGTGAGGCTTTTTTTTTAATTTAAGATGATGGAAATTGTGTAATAACCGTGTTACTGCGGACATTCTTTTTTTTTTTTCAAAGATGTGTATGAGTCAGTAAAGTTCTAGAGAGTTTGCTTTGAAAGTATACAAGAAAATATTTTATATTTCCTATTTGATATATTTTATATTATATCTTTCCTATTTTATAAGGACTATTCAACCTATGTTGAGGCACTCACTTTTCCAAGAACTTACTCTCTCAAGACAGTATCATTTTTGCATTTCACTTCTTCAGTGCAAGTTAATCTAAAGTTTAAAGATTGTGGAGCCAAATTATCTGCGGGTACATTGATAGGTCGGTTCCAGCTACTTCAACAAAGGAATGCTTGTTTATTGCAAAGGTCTGGCTTGTACACAGGAATGAAAAATGCAGTGCTCGATGACTGCATACATTTAGTGTTATTTATGTATTCATCTGTTAGAAAGAGCTTTAGATTGTTTGCTGCATTACATAATAAAAGGTTCTTGTGACCTTCTCTGGAAAAGTTTTCCTGCAAGCTTTTAGCAGCAACAGAAGCAAGTTTTCTTTTGTCACATAGATTTCCATTCAGTCTTGCTATGATAAAGGTTGAGTGTTTCCACTTCTTTTATCTGACTGGCATAATCAGCAAAATGCTGTCACCTCAGCACCCTCCTCATGATACTCAGTGTCACATCCTCAAAAAGCCAAAGTATAAGCATCCCAAAGATTTTGTCCCAGATAACCCCAGAAACACCTGGTGACAGCAAGGCCTGTAGGAACAACACACTCAGGGAAGGAGCAAGAATGGTAAGAAGCAAGGCGAGACCATCCATGCTCTGTTCTGCCTTCTGCTCTGTGGGTGATTTTGTGGTTAGGGGAATGACCTTTCTTATCTTGCAATGCCGAGCTTCTCCAGGCTGGACTTGCCCCATGAAACTCTTCTAATCAGATAATGAAATATAAAGAAATAAAGAATTTCAATTTAGCCGTTCTTTCTGCTCTTATGGACACCACAAACAGCTGATACCTTCCTCTTTCATCCTGAAGTAAGAGAAGAGGGCCAAGAACAGCCAGTTGTATCAGCTAACTTTATCCTGAATGCAGTACTTACATTTTGTATGCCAGAATGCCTTCTGTCCTGAGTATGTGGGAGAAGTCCTGAAGATCTGTAAAGCCAGACAAGATGAAGGAGAGAGACAGAACTGCAGTAATTACCAAGAGGTGTAGTTAAAAAGAACCTTAAAGAAAACAGTCAGAAAGAAACCACACAGAGATAAACCAAACTGCACGGGCTGGGAGTGTGTGAGAGTGAAGGCAGCCTTTGTATTCTTCATTCATCTACTTTATCAACCAACTTCTTCAACACACAAGTTGCTTGACCTAAAAAAGGAACAGCTCTTACTGGGAAAACGAGTTAAACATCTTTTTATCCAAAGAACCTGATTTTGAAACTTCTTTCTTTTATTCCCTCTTTCCTGAAGAAGTAATTTATGTTATGTTTCAACCTAAAAGACTTTATTCAGTTAGTAGGGATTTTGAAATGCAGCTGAAAACTGCTGTAGACATTTCAAAATACATGTTATTTAAAGCAGTAAGAACTCCTTTCTTTTACTTTGTTGGGTAAAATAAACACTTCATGATGTGTTCAGATTGTCTAAATTCCACAGAGATTTATGTTTCTTATTGATCTAATCCAGACGTTTGGAGAGACCCTGTAAATACCAGGTTCATTGTCGTATCTGGAATTCAGGCAATTTGCACACAGTCCCTGGGATAGAAGCAGCAAGATTCCTCTTAAGTTTCATAGTGTGAAATTTAGAACGTGCTACACTGTTAAGACACTTCAGTAGGAAGAAATGGAATCATCTGAAGCCTGAGAGAAAGTCTCCCAGAAATCGTCTTTAGAGAAAGAAAGTCTAACAGATAGCCTTCCAGAGAAGCCACTAACTGCCTTGAAGTGACCATGGGCATTCACATTGTTGTGAGTAGATGGCAGGCACAGGACTGGGCCTCAAATGCATGATCCACTTTTCAGAAAAGAGGTACTGCTATCTCAGTCTGAATTGTTTTGATACGTGGAAAAGAGTCAATTCATGTATTATGGAGACAAGCAGCAGTATGATTATAAATTCAGAATAAGTGAACAAATGAGCTTTGAAATGGGAAGAATGCTGATTTGCACAATAAGAGACATAACACTCTGTGTGGGCAAAAATACAGCAACAGTGCATGCAAATAAAAGCAGTGTAAAATCTGTATTTTTAGCTCTGACCTCTCACAGTTCCTACCAAGCATGTTATATAATGTAAACATTGTAATTTCCTGCTATTCCAGTGACATGACATGAGTAGTAACACAGTAATGAGAAAAAAGAAAATCTCATGTAGATGTAGCTAAGAAGAAAAATATCAGATGTATTTAATGGGAGAGATTTGGAAAGCTTCTCAAGAAACTGAAAAGTAAACTTTGACCTTTCAGGATCGTACTGATAAAACATTCTAGGTGATATTTGTTGGATTTAAGGTAAAGAAATAGTTATGTTGCAGTAATGTTTCTATATGTGTTCAAGGAACATTACTAACTCACTAGTGTTCTGAAATACCATGTTGAAAATACAGCCTTTTGAAATACTATTAGACCACAAAGCCTAAGGAGCACGAAGGGAACTTTCTGTTCTTTTATTTGCTTGTCACAGGCATCATTTCTATAGTTTAAGGATCTGTAAATACAAGGAGTTGAATTGTATGCTATAGGGTCA